GGAAGAAGGTGAAAAGGGTGAAATATCAAGGCAGTTGGCAACGCAAGGGGTCATAGTGATCATAAGCTTTTGAGAAATACCTCTCTGTCCACAACCACCATGGGTTCTCTGAAAAGAGAACTTGGTAGCTCCTTCTCTGTCATGTGGAAACCTGCAGACATAGACCCACTGGGTCTGGCCAGTCCTTACTCAATCCTCCACCCCTGGTGAGTCAGCTGGGGGCAGAAACACTCGGATCCACCAAAGGGGTCCTGGAAAGCCACAGCTGGTGGATACAACACCCTAAACCTTGACCTTCAGGTATAGCCATATTCTTATGAGCCCAGAAGGCCAGGAGTTCAAGAGGACTGAGGGGCACTTGGGACCAAAGTCAGAAAGCCAGAGGAGAGATTCTGGACCAAAGGTTGGAATGCAGGTGTGAGGAAACTGACTGGGTATTCAACCCCAGACTACAGAGCCAGGTATAGTGGCTCACATCTGTAATCTCAGCACTTTGGGAGGTTGAGGCGGGAAGATCACTTGAGGCCAGGAGTTCAAGACCAGCCTGGGCAATGTGGCAAGGCTTCATCTCCAAAAAAAAGTCCGAGTGTGGTGGCTCATGCCTGTAATCCCAGCACTTTGGGAGGCCAAGGTAAACAAATCACTTGAGGTCAGGAGTTAGAGACCAGCCTGACCAACATAGTGAAACCCCATCTCTAGTAAAAAATATAAAAATTAGCTGGGCATGGTAGTGGGCACCTGTAATCCCAGTGACTCAGGAGACTGAAACAGGAGAATCACTTGAACCTGGGAGGCAGAGGTTGCATTGAGCCAAAATCGCATCACTGCACTCTAGCCTAGGCAACAGAGCAACACTCCGTCTCAAAAATCATAATAAAAATAATTAGCTGGGCATAGTAATGCACACCTGTGGTCCCAGCAACCTGGGAGGCTAAGGCTTAAGGATCACTTGAGCTCAGGAGGTCAGGCTGCAGTGAGATATGATTGAGCCACTGGCCTCTGTACTCCATCCTGGGCAACAGAGCAGACCCTGTCTCTTAAAAAAAGAAAGAAAGAGAAAGAAAAGAAAAAAAGAAAAGAAAAGAAAAGAAAAGAAAAGAAAAGAAAGAAAGAAAGAGGGAGGGAGGGAAGGGAGGGAGGGAGGGAAAGAAAGAAAGAGAGAAAGAAAGAAAGAAGAAAGGAAAGAAAGAAAGAAAGAAGGAAAGAAAGAAAGAAAGAGAAGGAAGGAAACAGACCACAAAGAAAGAGGCTCAGAGAGAAGGGAGATGCAAGCAGAGAACTACTGATCCAATGGACAAGAGTTGCTTTGTCCTGAGAACAAGCAGGAAGCTCCTACTGCTGTGCCCAACCCACCAGGTGAGGGGCCAGGGATACCTACACCTGCTGGAATCTTCCAGAAACTTGTCCATTGTACCAGGGGCTTCTACCTGAGGAAACCAGTTCATTGCTCAGGACTATTACCCCCTCACCACTCCCACCTCCCACCTTATAACCATTTGTTGAAGGAAGGAAAAAGGAAGGAAGGACCAGTTTTGCCCTGACTCTTCTTCTTCTGACAACCGTGCCCATCTCCCATCTCTCCTCTCCCATCGAGATGCCAGCAAGTCCCTGGGGTGAGGATGGGGGATATAAAAGGATTAGGTCTTTCTCACCTCCTGTACCTGGAGCCACTTTTGCCATGTGTCACATACACCCTGTGAGATCTTGAGAAGGGAGTGAGTCTCAAAGAGGGACACAACCCCCTCACACCCTAATCAGCGATGAGTGGGTGTGCAGGAGACTTATTTGCACAGAGAACCACAGCAGCTGACAAGCTGTGGCTTTTCCAGGACGTGGCCAGAGATGGCCTCTCACTTTGCATGTCTGCAGACCACAAAGTAGGTCAAGAATCTGGGGTGAGGGTTCAGCCAGCCCTTTGGTCCCTGCTGCATGTCAATAGCGCCTCTCCCCGGGGCACCATGCAGATGCAGAGAGAGAAATCCTACCTCTGCAGTAGGGAAGCCATTGGCTTCCAGGAGAAAGGACCAGGAATTAAGTAGAATGGGGGCAGCCCTGAAAAACAAGGGACAGAAGCGTCGCGGGTCGTGGGGTAAGCTTTCCTCTCCTGGGCATGAGCAACAAGAAGGGAGCAGGGAGCAGCACTGTCTGTTAGAACTGCCTGTGGCCAGCCCCTCTGATCCTGGCCTCTCCCAGACCTGGCCTCCATAAGGAGGATTCCCCTTTGAATCAGGAACAGAGAATTCAGGCCGGGCGCGGTGGCTTAGGCCCGTAATCCCAACTCTTTGGGAGGCGGAGGCAGGTGGATTACCTGAGGTCAGAAGTTCAAGACCAGCCTGGCCAACATGGTAAAACCCCATCACTACTGAAAAACACAAAAAATGAGGCTGGCGTGATGGTGGATGCCTGTAACTCCAGCTACTGAAGAGGCTGAGACAAGTGAATTGTATGAACCCAGGAGGCAGAGGTTACAGTGAGCAGAGATCACAGCACTGCACTCCTCCAGCCTGGGTGACTGAGAAAGATTCCGTCTCAAAAAAAGAAAAAAAAAAAAAAAAAGATCAGAGAGTTCTCCAAGTGCTTCTGAGTAGCTGTTCCTCTTCTGACCAAGTGCCTATGGGGAATACAGGAGAATCGGCTTCTGTGTCCTCAAAAATTCATTTGAGTCCAAAATCCTGGTTTGGCCATTGACCTATACGCAAGCCAGTTATCTCCCCAGGTTTCTCTGTCCCCATATGTGAAAGAAGGGATTACACAGGTCATCTGAGATTCTCCCTGCCCTAAAGCACCTATGTATGTATGTATGTATGTATGTGTATTTGCATGTGTGTATGGGAATGGTTGTGTATGTACATACATGTATGCACATGTGTTATGGATGCTCATGTTTGTGAGGCTGAGTTGTGTGTATACATGTGTTTATTGCGCATGTGTGTAAATGTGTGTTGTGTGGGCATGTGTACATTTGAATGCTGTGTTACATGTGTGTACTTGTGTGTCCTGATGCATTCATTGGGCTCTCCTGGTTACAAAGACAGTGATGTGCTGACGCAACTTCTCTTGATCACTTTGGACTTGAAAACTGTAGACGATCTTTCCAGAACCCACCCTGTCCAGGTAGAGGAGCTCCCGTGTTGCCAGGGCCAGTTCCGTTGGGTCTCTCCCACTCTGCAACAGAAGTTTACAAGAAGTTTGTTGTAAGGCCCACTTGAGAATTAGAAAAACCAAATGTCTGAACCAGATAGAACTAAAAAAAAAAAAAAAAAAAACAGGAAATAAAGTTCTTTAGACAGATGGGAGGTACTACCAGAGGGAAAACTGGAATTTCAGGGATAAAGGAAAAGCAACAGAAGTGACAAAGAGCTACATAAATAGACTACTTTTCTCTTCTTATGACAGCTGAAGGCAAAATTTATAACACTTTTTATAGCAATTTTCAACATACACAGATCTACAGCATACATAGATTTCAGCAAACACAGATTACAGCATAACCTACAGCATTCCACCTGAAGTGGCACAATATTATTTCTAAGTAAACAAAGTTAAATATGAATACTATAATCCCTGCAATAACCACTAAAATACCTATACAAAGATATATAGTCTAAACTTCAATAAATCGATTAAATGGAATACTCAGAAATATTCAAGAAACCCCAGAAAGAGGGAGAAATGAAACCTAAAGAACAAAAAGAAAACAAAAAAATGACAAATCTATATCCAAACATATTAAGTTACATTAAGTGTAAAGGGGTAAATGGTCTAAACATACCAATTAAAGACAAGGGCTATCGGATTGAATGTTCTTTTTTTTTCTTTTCTTTTCTTTTGGAGATATAGTCTCCCTCTGTTGCTAGGCTGGAGTGCAGTGGTGTGATCTTGGCTCACAGCAACCTCCACCTCCTGGGTTCAAGTGATTCTCCTGCCTCAGCCTCCCGAATAGCTGTGACTACAGGCATG